GGAATTCTGCAGGCAACAACGCAGGAGGGATGGGGTGGAGAGGGCAGCGGGAAGGGGCTATAGGATGAAGGGGACAAATGTACGTCTATGGCCAATTCATATTGATGTACTGCAAACAGCATCACTGTACTGTAGAGTAATTATCCTCCAATTAAAGTAAATGAATTTTAAAATAATAATAAATACTTTTTGGTAGAAAATAGGGAATACTAGACTGAGTAGCTAGTACTCTCTTCTCCAATGGATCTTCCCAACCCAGGGATCACACCCAGCTCTCCCACAATGTAGGCGGATTCTTTACCATCTGAGCCACCAGGATTTTATAATAAGTATAGATTATTACTATATACTATTAGTATATCATTATACTGTTTCTTTGGGCTTCCCAAGTGTTTCAATGGGTCAAGAAGCTGCCTGCCAATGCAGGAGATGTAAGAGATGAGAGTTCGATCCCTGGGTTGGAAAGATCCTCTGGATAAGGAAATGGCAACCCACTCCAGTGTTCTTGCCTAGAGAATCCCATAGACAGAGGTGCCTGGCAGGCTACAGTTCACAGGGTCACAAAAAGTAGGACATGACTGAAGCGACTTAGCACACACACACACACACATACTGTTTCCTTACTATTTCCAGCACTATTCCTGACAGCACCCTCGAATTAAACTTAATGACAATCTCAGAATTTGTCATGGGGCTCATCTGTGAGGATCCTCAACAGGCTCTTCTGTCTGATTCTCCAGGCAAGTATACTGGAGTGAGTTGCCATGCTTATCTCAGAACTCAATGCTAAAAAGATTGTGTATTTTTAATTGAAGATAGTGTTTTAATAAAAGTTTTCACATTTTAATGAACATCCAGGTGAGTAAAACAATTTAAAATAATTTATTTCTTTAACTTCAAAAATTATCAGATCAATTTAATCAAGCAGTCACTCTAGATCAGTTTCTTTACCTGAACCCTCCCTAACACTGCCCATTAACATATTTCATAAAATTGAAATCCTCAAGTGTCGAGAAAAAAATTTTAAATTTTTAAATTTTAAAAATTAGATGGTTCATAGTATCTAACTGGCTGTTCATGCTACACTTACATCTATTTTTTTGACAGTTGAACAGGTGGATGGAATGTAGACGATGTGCATTTTGTTGAATGAGAATTTAAAACCATGTGTACGTGTGCTCAGCCGCTCAATCACGTGTCTGACTCTTTGTGACCCCGTGGACTGTAACCTGCTAGGCTCCTCTGTCCACGGAATTCTCTCAGGCAGGAATACTGGAGTGGATTGCCATTTCCTCCTCTAGGGGATTTCTCTGACCCAGGGATCTAAACCACATCTCTTGCATTGGCAGGTGGATTCTTTAGCACTGGCCATGTGGAAACATACCTGAAAATATCTCACCATCCTCTCTAACGAGTGGCTGCATCTTCCCACCATCACTGCAGGACATGAGGCACCTGCACACTCCCCGAGGCCTCCCCGTAATCACTGCACAGCCTCTCCCCACTAAGTCCCCATCACTCCCATTTTCATCCTTGGAGAACTGATTAAAGTCTCTCCTGGTGACGTTCTCCAAACTCAGTCTTGCTGGTGTGTGTTTGGGGGGTGGAAGTGGAGGTGACGGGGTTTATATAGGAGTTATCACTACCAACAAACTAATCAACTAGGTCATGAAAATAGAAAGTGAGCCGATGATAGACCAAAGATGAGAAACAGGAAGAAAGGTGAAAGGGTTCTGTTTCTGAAGTGTTTCCTGTGAGTTTCACGAAGGCACACCTGTTGGTACTGCTTGCTTTAATTGGCAGCTACTGAAATGCCTTGTGAGCCTGGGTCAGGCCACGGGGTCGCAAAGAGTCAGAAATGGCGGTGATTGAGCACGCATGCCAGCAGCGGCAATAAATTGACCTGAAAATATAAAATATTCAAGCCTAATACGAGTTTATATCTTGCTCAGGTAATACGAGTTTCTATCTTGTTTCTGGGTGATGGGCAGCTCTCCTGCACTTCAGGCCCCTTTTACTGTGTCCTGAAAGTCATGATGCCCCCATATCCCCGAGACCTCATTCGAATCAGCTCCAAGTCAGTAAAGCGAGTGATAGAGTGAGAAGGAGATTGAGCTATTAATATTTTTTAAAGGCTTGGCTCAAGACTTCCCTGGTGGTTTAGTGGTTAAGAATCCACCTGCTAATGCAGGGGACATGGGTTCGATCACTGCTCAGGGAAGATCCCACATGCCGCAGGGCAGCTAAGCAACTACTGAAGCCCGTGGTCTAGAACCTGTGCTCTGCAACAAGAGACACCACCATAGTGAGAAGCCTGTGTGTGTGTGCACATGTGCTCACAGTCCTGTCCGACTCTTTGTGACCCCATGGACTGTAGCCCACCAGACTCCTCTGTCCATGGGATTTCCCAGGCAAGAATACTGGAGTGGGTTGCCACTTCCTCCTCCAGAGGATCTTCCTGAACTAGGGATCCAACCCAAGACTCCGGCATCTCCTGCATTGGCAGGCGGATTCTTTACCTTTGCGTCACCTGAGAAGCCAAGAAGCCTGTTCACTGCAACCAAGAATAGCCCCCACTTGCTGCAACTAGAAAAAACCCTGAGCACAACAAGGACGACCCAGCACAGGAATGAATAAATAAATAGAAAAGTTTTTAAAGGCTCAGCTCAGAAACTGCACAGGTCACCTCTGCACATGTTTTTTTGGTTGGAATTCAGTCTCACAGGCTGACCTGATCACAAGGGCGCCTGGGAAACCTGGTCCAACTTCCAACCTGAGCAGGAAGAAGGGGGAACCTTCTTGCAGAACAGACAACAGACAGGACTAGACACAGAGCCTTTGTGAGGCTGAAGGGAGACAAGCCAATACATCGCTTTTGAAACCATGCTGAGGACACTTAAAGGGGCCAGCGGGCTGACCGCTAGAACCAGTCAGCAAACATCCACATTCTTTAGCCCTCCTTAGAGTGCCTGAAACTTAGTATTTTAAAATAATTCAAACCTTTCACTAATAGTTGCACCAAAACACCAAAGTGATCCCCTCAGTAAAGCACTCTGTCTCTCCCAGACAGGACAGATGGCCTCTTAGGAACAGACCGGAGAGTTAAGTCAGGCTTTTCCCTCTCCCTCCCTCTAATGCAATGATCAAATTGTTTGGGATGGCTTCTGAGATCACTATCTGAATGCCTCACCGGCCTCACCACTACCCGGACGCTAGAATTTCAATCTCCAAGTCCTGTGAAACTTAACCAGTCCATTTTCTTAAAGTTTTGTCGACCAATGATAAACCCTTTTCATAAAATGAAAAGTTAAGGGGAAAAAAATCATTTCTCTTGACCTATTGGCACAAGAAAACAGTGACTCTTTTATTGCAACTTGGGAGTCAGGGATGAGAATTTTATTTGAAGATGACAACTTGGTGGTTAATGGGTTTTTTTTGTACTTACTCGCTCTTCCAGATGAACGACACAGAATAATTGGTCATTCTGAAGATGGGTTCACACCAGGAGAGCTTGCCACCCATACCGTGCTGTTTTTAGTTCAAAAAGGACATTGCTGAGGGTAGATGTGATCAGGTTTATGAGTCAAACAAAACTGTCTGTGTGGGAGGCTTCTGCTTTGTAGCCTAAATGGTTAACTCAGGCGTGTCAACACATAAAACAACTGAATTATAATTAAGAACTGTTGGTGAGCACCACCACACAAGATATTTTCAGTGTTTACCAGTAGCATCTGCTCGTATTTACAAATCACTTTACAATGTTCATAAAAGTATCTTACCTCAATTATTTATTTGCAACAAGTCTTATAGCAAGTGTAGATAATTTTTTTTCTTTTAATTGCTGGTTACATCCCCTAAGGCAAAGCCAGCCTCCTAATTAATTTAGGCCTATTTTTCCTTAAAGAAATATCAAGCACCAAAATCACTTCCTTTTTCACCTAAGCAAAGATGGCCAAAAAGTACACGTCTTACAACAATACTTTAAAATATGCTTTGTTTCCACATTGTGGCCAGTTAGGAGAAAAGGAAACAGATATGAAGAGAAGAAAAAAGAGGCGGGAGCAATAGTGACAGAGAGAGGAGCAGATACAGAAAGAGAATGAAAAGCACAAATGATGAGGGAGGGGCTTTGAGAAGTAAAAAGCAGGGGGAGAATGAGGAAGAAAATGGAGGAAAAGGAATAGCAGAATTCTTTTTGAGCGGAATGGGGAACATTTGAACACAACAAAGAACAGAATCCACCTTCATGGGAGGGAACCGGAGGAGAGGTTTTTCTCCTACCACAGCCATTAAGATCAGAGCAATGCTAAGACTGAATGAGGTAAAGTCCAAGGTTGGTCCCCCAGGAGTGGAGGTTTCTTTCACTTTCTGTAAGTTCTACAAAATCCATGTCTCTCCAGTCACTGAAATGATTCTTTCTTTATGCATTTCATAGATTCTTAGATTCTTTTTTAAAAATTGATATATAATTTGCATACCATCAAATTCATTTTTTTAAAACTTTTACTTTACATTGGAGAAAAGCCAATTAAAAATGTGATAGTTTCAGGTGGACAGCACTCAGCCATATACATACATGTATCCATTCTCCCCCAAACTTCCCTCCAATTCAGGCTGCCACATAACAATCAAATTCATTTTTTAAAAGTGTATTTTTGAGGGCTTCCTGGCAGTCCAGTGGTTAAGACTCTGTGCTCCCAATGCAGGGGGCCATGGGTTCAATTCCTAGTTGGGAAACTAATATCCCACATACTGCACAGAACAGCCAAAAACAAACAAAAAAGCATATATTTCAAGATTTTTGGTAAATTCACAAGGCTATACATTCATCACCACTACTTAATTCAAGAATTTTTTCATCACCCCTAAAAGAAACTGCATGAAAATTGACAGTAAGTCCTTATTCCTTCCCTCCTTGTACCAACCTCTGGCAACCAAAAAATCTCCTTTATGTCCCTACTGATTGGCATATTCTAGAAATTTCATATCTTGGGAATCACACAACATATGGCCTTTTGTGTGTGCCTTCTTTTATCAATTCTTAGCATGTTTTTAAGGTTCATTCAGGTTGTAACACATAAAGTACTTCCTTCCTTTTAATAGTTGAATAATATTTTATTGTATGTATATACTGAGTTTTCTTTATCCATTTACCAGTTGATGGGTATATGAACTGTTTTCACCTCTTAGCTATTATGAATAATGTTGCTTTGAACAATCCTGTACAAGTTTTTTGTGACTATATGTTTCCAATTTTCTTGACTATATGCCTACATTGAAACTGACAAGTGCTTTGATAACACTGTGTTTAACCTTTTGAAGAATTGCCAGTTTTTACCAGAACAAAGATTACCATTTTATTCACATCAGAAATCTATGAGTGTTCCAAAATCTCTACAACCCTAACAACACTTGTTATCATCTAACTTTTTGATCAAAGCCATCCTAGTGAGTGAGGAATTGTTCTCATAGTGATTTTGATTTGCACTTATCTAATGACTAATGATGGGGAGCATCCTTTCATGTACCTAATGGTCATTTGTTATCTTCTTTGGAGAATTATCTAATCAGAACCACTGCCTATGTTTTAAGCAACCCAAATATCCATCAACAGAGTAAAGAAGAAGATAAGAAGAAGATGTGTGGATAAAGACATATACACAAAGGAATATTACTCAGCCATTAAAAAGAATGAAATAGTGCCATTTGCAGCAACATGAATGGACCTAGAGATTGTCATAATGAGTGCAGTAAGTCAGACAGAGAAGAATTATCGTATGACATCCCTTAAATGTGGAATCTAAAAACAGATGATACAAATGACCTTATTTATAAAGTAGAAACAGATTCACAGACTTAGAGAATGAACTGTGGTTGCCAGGGGGAAGGATGGGGGATGGGATAGGTAGGGAGTTTTGGATGGACATGGACAGACTGCTGTATTTAAAATGGATAACCAACAAAGACCTGTGTAGCACATGGAACTCTGCTCATTATTACGTGGCAGCCTGGATGGAGGGGAGTCTGGGGGAGGATGGATACATGCACACGTATGGCTGAGTCCATAGGACGATCGCCTGAAACTATCACAACACTGTTAATTGGCTACACACCAATATAAAATAAAAAAGCTTTTTTAAAAAACAAATCTTTGCCCATGTTTTAACTGGGCTGCATTTTATTCCTGAGTTATAAATATGCTTCACATATTCTGGATACAGACCCTTATCAGATACAGGATTTGTGAATATTTTCTCCCATTCTGTGGGTTTCTTTTTGCCATCTTGATGCATAAACATTTTAAATTTTTATAATCTCCAATTTTTGTTTTCTTTGACAGATTTATGCTTTAGGTGTCATATCTAAGAAACCATTGCCTAGGGACTTCCTTGGTGGTCCAGTGGTTAAGAATCTGCCTCCAAATATAGGGGACACAAGTTTGATCCCTGGTCAGGAAACTAAGATCCCATATGCTGTGGGGCTACTGAGCACACGTGCTGCATTTGCTGAGCCCACAGGCCACAACCAGTGAGCCCACGCACGCTAGACTCCATGCTCTGCAACAAGAGGAGCCTGTGTGCTGCTGCTAGAGAGGAGCCTCTGCACCCTGCAGCTAAGGCCCGGCACAGCCAAACAGATGGTAACAAAAAAAAGAAATCGTTGTCAATCCAAGGCCATGAGGACTCATACCTCTGCTGGCTCTAAGAGTTTTATAGATTTAACTACTACATATTGGGGTCTCTGGCCCATTTTTTTTTTTTAGTTAAATTCTGTATTTGTTATGAGGTAAGTGATCAACTTCATTATTTTGCATGTGAATACCCATTGACCCAGCTCCATTTCTTGGGCTATTCTTTCCGCATTGATTTTCCTTGGCACTCTAGAGATGTGTCCATTTCATTTAGGTTACCTTACTTGTTGGCATACAGTTGTTTATAATAACACCTTAGAGTCCTTTTTATTTCTGTTAGGTTGTTAATAGGATCACCTCTTTCACTGAGTCCTCTTCCGTTCCTTGTCAACCTAGGAAAATACTGTCAATTTTGTTGCTGCTTTCACAGGACCAAAGTTTGGGTGTTTTTATTTTCTCTATTCTTCTATTCCCTATTTCATTTATTTCTGCTATAATCTTTATTATTTCCTTCCTTCTGCTTTGGGTAAAGTTTGTTCTTTTTTCCCCTAGTTTCTTAAGGTGAAAGAATAAGTTATTGATTTGAGAGCTTTTATTTTTCTATACAGATGTTTAGAACTATAGACTAAGCATTGCTTTCATTGCATTCCATAAGTTATGCTATATGTTGTACTTTAGTTTTCACACATCTAAAAGTATTCCGAAGGTTATGTGACTTCTTTTTTGACCCATTATTTGTTTATGAGTATGTCATATAATTTCCAGTATTTGTTAATTTCCCTAAGTTTCCTCTGTTATTGATTTCTAATTTTAATTTATTATGGTCAGAAAACATACTTTGTATGACTTCAATCATTCCACATTTTTTAAGACTTCTTTTATGCCTTAATATATAGTCCATTCTGAAGAATGCTCCATGTTTACTTGAGAAGAATTTGTCTTTAGCATTTCCTGGGTGCTATAGATGTTTGTTATGTCAAGTTGGTTTGTAGTGTTACTCAAAGCTTTTTTCCTTGATAATCTTCTGTCCAGTTGTTCTATTCGTTGTTTGAGTAGTGATGTGTCCAATTATTACTCTCGAATTTCCTATTTCTCCCTTAAATTCTGAGGTGGTTTTTTTTTTTTTGCTTCATGAACTTGAAGCACTGTAGTCAGGTACAGAGTATATTGTTGTTATATCTCCCAGAAGAGTCTGCCTGCCAATGCGAGAGATGCAAGAGATGTGGGTTCAATTCCTGGGTCAGGAAGATCTTCTGGAGAAGGAAATGGCAACACACTCCAGTATTTCTGCCTGGGAAATCCCATGGACAGAGGAGCCTGGCAGGCTACAGGCCATGGTGTTGCAAAGAATCACACATGACTGAAATGACTTAGCATGCACATATGTCACATCAGGTCAGGTATGGATGCATTGACCATTTTATCACTACAAAATGACCTTTTTTTTTGTCTAATAAAAATTTTGTGTTAAAGATCATTTGTCTAATATTAATATAGTCACTCCAACTCTCTTTTGGTTGTTTGAATAGTATATCTTCTTCTATCATTTTACTTTTAACCTACTTGTCTTGAATCTAAAGTGTGGTGCTTATAGACAGCATATATTTGAATCATTAAAAAATATCCTACAAATCTTTGCCTATTAATTGGAGTGTTTAATCACTGACATTTAATCTAATTAAAATGTATGTAATGTAATGATAAAGTAGAATTTATATTTACTATTTACATTTTCTGGAGAAGGAAATGGCAACCCACTCCAGTATTCTTGCCTAGAGAATCCCATGGACAGAGGAGCCTGGCTGGCTACAGTCCGTGGGGTCGCAAGAGTCAGACATGACTTAGCAGCTAGAACAGAAACACATTTACATTTTACCATTTTTTTCTTTTTTCTATTTTTTTTTAAATTTTTTATTTTTTTCATTTATTTTTATTAGTTGGAGGCTAATTACTTTACATCATTGCAGTGGTTTTTGTCATACATTGAGATGAATTAGCCATGGATTTACATGTATTCCCCATCCCGGTCCCCCCCCCACCTCCCTCTCCACCCGATCCCTCTGGGTCTTCCCAGTGCACCAGGCCCGAGCACTTGTCTCATGCACCCAACCTGGGCTGGTCATCTGTTTCACCCTAGATAATATACGTGTTTCGATGCTGTTCTCTTGAAACATCCCACCCTCGCCTTCTCACCATTTTTTTCTATATGTCTTGTGTCTTTTAAAAATCTCTCATCTTTTTCCATTACTGCCTTTTTTGTGTGTTAGAGTCCAGTTCTCCACTATTAGTAATGCTAATTTTGAACAGTTGACAACTAAGAAATATCAATCACTCTGAGGTTACCAAGGTGACTTTAAATCTCACTTGACATACTGACTGTTCTTCACTATTTCAATCAAACCAAATCATGAGAAAGATTTCAAGATATGGTTGAGGATTTAGTCACCACTTGCTAGAAAAAGTCAGTATATTATCAAAGACAAAATAAAATATTTTGAAAAATTTTCTTTTGTGTCTTAACTCCTTTCATTAGTCATTTACACACCAGATGCGAAGTGCCAACTTTATGCTAGGCACTGGGAAAAAACAGCAAATAAAATAGACAAAGTCCTTGTCTTTATGAATCTTGAGTTCTAGTGGGAGAGACAGTCAATGAATAGATAAACAAGTACATTCTAAAATACACAGTGAGATAAGAACCAGGAAGAAAATTGGGTGGGGATTCCCCAGTCAGTCCAATTGTTGAGACCTCACCTTCCAAGGCAGGAGGTGCAGGTTCAATCCTTAGGCAGGGAACTAAGATCCTCCATGCCTCATGGACAAAAAACCAAAACATAAAACAGAAGTATTATTGTAATGAGTTCAATAAAGACTTTAAAAATGGCCCACATAAAATTTTTTTTTTTTAAAAAGCAAATAAAATACACAGCAACATAAGATCTAGGAAGAAAATAGGGTAGAGGAAAGATGCCAAGATGTATGGTGCAGGGGGTATTTTAGTTTGGGGGATTCTGAGAAGTGCTTTCCGAGAAACTGACTTTTGAGCAAGCACCTCAATGAAGAGAGGGTTCAAGTTGCAATGGTCTGTTGGGATAGTGTTTGAGGTACAGAAAACATCTGCCAATAACCTCAGCCAGAAGAGTGTTTGGCATGGTTGAGGATCCACAAAGATTCCCATGTGACTGAAGAGAAAGAAGCAGGGCAAAGACTGGTGAAAAATGCAGCAAGTTAGGCAGTCAGTGTTCACATGTGCATGAGCTCATAGGCCCTCTTGTAAGCCAGTAAAGGGTCATGAGCAAAAGAATGGTGTTAGCTTTCATTTTTTAAAGGATCATTCTGGCTACTGTATGCAGAATAAACTGTTGGAGGGTATAAATGAAGTCAGAACAACAACAAGGTGGACCCTCCTTAGGGTGATTTCTAAACCATGCT